ATTTTAATGTAGTACTTGAAGCCAATTTCAAGTAGACAGCAACCATTTACTCTGAGTAAAAAATTTGACATTAAAAAAGACTGGTTTTCTTGGTATTTGGCCTGGATATAGTTATGAGAGAGTCTGCTCTCCACCCAAAAGACTGATAATGTCAAAAGGGACTGCGTAAAATCACATTAGTCCAGAATTCCTAAACCCAGAATGACCTTGAATGAACTTGGTCCCCCTTCCTTCCTTTTGCATCCCACCCACCAAACTGCCTCTACCCAGCCCTCAAGTAGGTTTTATAATTCATAGAAATAATTTTGTGTTGAGTAACTCTGTTACTTTTTTTCCAAATTGAGAGAAAAATGAAAGGAAAATGCTTTAGAAAGGTGCTATTAAAAGAAAAATATACATGGTGTTTCCGTAAGTTTGGATTTATTCTAGAAAAAAAAATCATGAACTTTTTACACTTCTATTTTAATCCTAGAGGAAAAAATATGAACTTTTTACATTTCTTCTCCTTTTAAGTAAGCACCAGACTTAGTGCCGTGAAAACAATGACCACAATATAGAAAAGACAGCAAAATACACCCTGAAACTGTGTCCAACCCCACTGGTAATAAAGATTTGAACGAGTAAAGAAGGGTGGTCCCCTGTGTCTATTTTTCTCTTACTTAAAACTAATTAAAATTCTATATGTCCTAAAACAGGACAAACAAGATTTATCATCGTTTCATGTTATCATATTGCCCCCCTGAAGCAAAAGAAAATATCTGGAGCTGTACCTGAAAATTTGATCATGGCAGATTTTTAGAAAACCAGTTTTGTATGTTTCAAGCTTTGAAAAGAAAACAGAACTTGGGAATTTTCAAGGCTGTTTTAAATCAACTGGCAAGTTACCAACTCTGGCTATCAATGCAAATCTCAGGCAGGAAATACTGAAGAAATCCTACACTCATCCTTCCCTCTGCAAGATTTTCTACATTTTCACGTGTAAGCAGTGTGTTAAGGGGTTGTTTTGTTTTGCTTTTGAAGAATATGGACACTCTCGTCTTTAAGAAAATCCTCTGCCCCAAAAGGGCCCCTCTTTCTCTGCCCTCTCCTCACTCCTCGTGTTTACAAGTGTTTGCTTTTTCTCTGGCACAATCAGCTGGGCTCCAGCTAGACTCTTAGAGCCAAGGTGGCAGGCCAGGCTGCAGATGGTGATATTCAGCCTGAGATAGTGTGCAGTTGGGGATACTGCTTATACCTGACCCCTTCCTCACACAAAGATCTGAGGACCACCAGTTGGAGAAGCCCTGTGAGGGTCCTCTAGCCTGAACCCTTTCTTTAAGACCTTCTGGGGAACCACATGGCCAAAGAAGGAAATGCAGTAGTGATGAAAAAGCAGCATAATTAGAAACTGCACAAGACTGGTAGACACACAGTGAGCTAGAAAGGATGTGGAAAGGAAGAAAGAAAGGCTTGCTGGGTGTGCCTGGGTGATTTCTGAAGTTGTACAAAGATGACTAAAGTCTTCCAAATGCAAAACATCAACTCACCAAGCAGTGACCATGTTTTCTGCTTTCTAGAGCTCCTCTTTCAACTATTTTTTTTTTCAAGAACCTCCCACACCTTCCCCATTCCTCCCCACAGAAGCACCTCAACTTCTCGATGAAATTTATTTGGAACCTCATGACCCAACAGCCAACAGGTTGGTTTTTGGAACACTTGAAAAATGTTTGGCTACAACTAATCAAACATCACTCTGCATTTTGTCACTAAACTAAGGTACCCTTGTGAGGCCCCTTGTTTTTTGAAATCTGATTATTCTGTATGGCCTTTCAAACAGCAACTTGCTTCGATAAAACTTTGTTTTAATCCAGTTATATCTCTTATTTATATATGATAACATGTCACTGAGATTTCTCATTATGCCTTAACCTAAAGCAATATCAATTTCTTGGTATTGGTTTTTGGTAGGAAAAATATTATCCAAAAAGAAAATCAACAAAATATTTTCAGATGTGAGGTACAGAAGAGGGCACATGCTGTCACAGCATTGCTGTACTACAAACCTTAGTTTCCAGTCAACTGCTGGGCAGTCATGTTATATAATTTACATGTGTATTTTTCTAATATAAAACATTTTGAGCATTTGGAAAATTATTCAAAGGTATGAAACATAAATATCCTATTTCTATTTTTATGAAGCAAAGCTGAGAGATTGGTTCTCATCTTAAGAGAAATGGAAGTAGAGAGGGCAGGCAAGTGTCACAAGTTTCCCAAAACTTTAATATGTATTTAAAGAAATGGAAAACATTTGCCTTTATTTTTAAAAATGCCAATTTCATGTTGTTTATCATAAGAAAATAGAAATTGTACCTAACATTAGACTATTTAAATAAAAAGAGAAAGTTCAGAGTATTTTTCATTTTCTGAATAATTATGATAATAATTGTTTCAATTGTTTAAGATCCCACGAAGACTCACCCCTCAAAAAAAAAAAACAAGAATGCCAGAAAACACCTCTTTATATATGATATCACTAGAATATGGTTTTCATTAACCATAAAATCCTATCAATCTTAATAAGTATTCTTTATAAATTAGCATCATCTTAAATTGTCCCTACTTTAAAGTTGGCTTATACCTGCAAGCTAAGGCTAGAACAGTGGATTTTATAACTCTATCCTGGCTTACCAAATTAATATAAGCAGTGTATACTTTATGTAAAATGATTATGAGTTATAGTTTGAGATACAAGTATAGAATGGGGCAAAAAGTAATATGGAAATAAACCAGTTGTTTTCTTCTTATACTGGGGCAAGCTAGTGTCTCTCTCTATTGGATAAACCCTGGCAGAACATCCCCTCATGCTACAATATAATTGCACACTGACACTTACACCCTGCTGAGTCTGAGTTTCAAAACACAGCACTTTTTCCCATCCTCATTCTCCAGGGATGTTAGCAATGACTGTCATTTTGGAGGGACCGTAACAGTGTTCAACAACTGCACAGCACTGCCCAGATTTTACAAGATAATAATAAATATAAACCACCACTACAGTCAAAGCAGCTGATCTTCCATCCCCTACACCCTGATCTGGTTACCCAAGTATCAGCTTAGGATGCCTAATGAGTATAACTTCTTAAAAATGTTCCAGAAGTTGATGGCTTTGGCTAGCTGGAAAGTAACAAGATCCAGATGCCACTGTCTACACACCACTGAACTGCACAGGACCCCAAAAGAGATTTTTTAAAACTCCCTCTGTGTTTTTCAGTCTCCTCTTTTCTCTCACTACTTTGCTCTCTTTCTTTATCCCCATTGCGTGCACACACACACACACACACTTTCTACAAGGGTAGGTCATCCAGCACTCTGTATCTTTGATATAATGTGCACATCATTTATTACTTCGGCCAGTAATAAGTTAAAAGAAATCGTAAGCAGAAAAATGATTATTTCATTCATTTCAAGCTAAAGTTTCTTTTCTGGATATACACAATAGTATTAAACACAAAAATAAAGGCATAATTTTTGAAACACTTGGAAAAATTTATCCAAATGAGTAAAAGGGATGGAATGTTCGATATTCTTCAGACAACCCTTGAGTTTATTGTTTTTGTTTCTTTAGGGGATAAAAAAATGACTATGAATTTCCCCTTTTTCACTTGTCCTTGGTTGGCCATTTATTTGAGGAATGGCAGACAGCATTCTTTACCCAATCCCCCAAAGAGTGAAAACACAGGGCACTGAGCAGAGGGTTGTTCTATTTAAGCAGCAGCAGCTAAACTAAATGCTCACAAAGGCAAAAGGCAATGCAAGTCGACCTTGGAGGAGCAGGGTGGATCGTGGAGCAATTAAAAAGGAAAAAAGAAAAAAAGCAGCAATCTTTAATGCAATACTGAAAGTCAGCTGCCTGGTCTGGGTTAGCAATAGGCATTGTTTGATGAGACAGAATAAATGAGAGAAAACTACGGGATGAATTACCAAGCCCTAATCACATCGGCAAGTCCTGTTGACAGCAGAGATCAGCCAGGCACGCCTTGTTCACTCTCACATATTTATTTATTAAGAAGATGGTGGGGTCTGACTAATACAACACAAAATAATCATCACCATGTACCTGAGGTGGTTACTGTACTAATGTTTCCCCCCAAATCAAGTCCAATTTACATGACAAATGGGGCAATACTTTCACACCTGGGAGTCTTTTCATGTCTTAACTGCAAGATAAAGTTCAGGGTAGGCACTGCCCCCTGCTTAAATAGGAGGGCTTGCCTCTGGGCCCCTAATAATCCTTTGAGCACACTCACACAAAGCCGAAAGTGTTTAACCAACTCAAGTCCAATTATTATCAGTTACATTCCATGTCTTTTCAAGACTCAGGCCTCCAGACAACAGCTAACCCAGAAAAATAGTGTCTAAAAGTAAACACATCTATTGTGAAGCTCCCAGTGCAGTCTCTAGAATTCTGATCATTCTCAACATAAAATGAAGCCAGGCAACAAAAAAACAAAACACACCAGAACTCTAAGAGACTTTGGGGTAGGTGCTCTATACCTCCCCACACCCTTCTTTCATTTGGTTCTCAGCCATGAAAAGTTTGCCTGGCCCCCACCCTGGCATGTCCTCTAGTGGGAAAATGCTTTGAGCCCCACAAACAAAGAACAGCTCACCAGAAAAGCCCCTGAACTTGTATTCTTGTGCCTGATAATCACTATTGTGATCTCCTTTCTAAAACCCCTGCTCATCAGGAACACTTATGCTGCCAAATAACAACAAAGGAACTCGAGTGAAACTATTATCTGTCCTAGAAGAGAAAGCCACAATTCCAGGTTTTGCCAAGCTTGCTTTCTTCTTACATCTTCCTCTGCCTCATGAACTCCACTGGTATGTTACTAATTTCAAAGGAGCAGGAAGAGGTGATGGGGTAAGGGTTAAATAAAAATTCTCATGCCTGTCTGCTTCCCATCCCAGTGCAGAAGGACAGACACCACACTGACTGGCGGACGTGGGTCGAGCCATACCTTGGTTTGGAGATAGTGAGGATGGTAGTAAGTGTACTGGGGGTACATTTGTGGCTGATCCAGGCGTTTGCCCATGTAGCTGGAATCTTGATCTCCGAGACAGGGAACTGGATGACAGGGTATAGTGCCCCAGGCCGAGCTTCCTCTTAATCCACTATTCCTGACAGTCCGGATGACTGATGAGGCTTCGGAGACTCCACCACTCGCTAGTTCCAGCACGGCAAGAATTTAAACAAAACAAAACAAAACAAAAACACACACCAAAAGAAAAAAGAAAAAAAAGGATGGGGAGTGAGATGTGTGGAACCCCCCCCCCAACAGCCTCCCCAGGTCTTGCCGGCTTCTCCAAGCCGCTGGGTGCACTTGTGAAGAGGCAGTTTGTTCTCTAACTAGGCTGTCTGTAGTGATGTCAATCGCCAGCGTTTGTAAAGGGGGAAAAAAATCAAAGTCCTTTTAGAACAACTCCGAATCCTTGTAGATCAGCTTCCTGTCTCATTTGTCTCCTTCCCCACCTTAAAGAAAAAGGGGAGAGAAAAGAAAGAAAAAGAAAAAAAGAAGGCAAAGAAAACAGAAGGGAAAGAAAAAGAAAAGGAAAAAAAAAGAAAAAGAAAAAAAAGGAAAAGAAAACCTTGCACAGCTTAGTGGCTGCTGTCTCCCTCCCAGAGTGACATGGTGTTCGGGGCTTGTCCTGTCCTTTCATTCACTTCCCCTCCTTCCAGCCAGTGGGTGGAACCGAGAGAGCCTCTCCAGGGAGCGGCATACGCAGTCCAGAAGGCTGCAGTATTTCCTCCAAGAAAAAAAAAAAAAAAAAAAAAGCCAGGCTGCTTCCAGTGGCTGCACGCAAAGTCGCGATCGGCCGCCGCCGCCTGGCATCGCCGCGCCCGCTGCGGCAGCCGGGAGCCTGGAGCCGAGCCCTGCGCGCCGCGGGGCCTCTCCGCCCGCCGCCCGCCGCCTCCTGGGCTGTGATCGCCAAATTCCCAGGTAGGACACAAGCTTAAGGAAACACCCAGGACCGTGCGAGGGGACCGAAGACAAGGGAGGAAGGGGGAGAGAGGGAAAAGAAGAAGAAAGACAGGAACTAACCTTGGTGGCTCAGTGAGAAAAGTGTGTGGGGTGCTTTGCAAAGCTGGGAGCACTACAGCCGGGCGCATCGCATCCAGGACTGCTGGAGAAACTAACCTTCCACTTCCTGGAGGACGCGAGGATGTAAGTACTGAAGAAATTGTAGGCTGTACTCCAGGACTACTGTTACCAAGCCAGGCAGCGTCTGCCTGGACCGATAACTGAATACAGAGAAATAATCGCTCTCTTGCTTACATCCATTTGGTAAAAATCAAAGAAGTGACCGTTAGGTTTATTAGCTTCTTTATGAATAAAATCACTGCTTCTCCCATTGTCTCTCTTTATGATTATTTTGATTCATGGGTGCTTTAATCGCTGTACTGAAACCATCTCCAAAAAAAAAAAAAAAAAAGAACAAAAATCATAATTACTTGGCAGAGTTTTTCCCCCACCAATAATAATATTCTGAGATGTCTATCAGCTGCTACATTGTAATACAAATTGTTTCAGAGGAAATCTATTTCCTTAAAGGGTCCCTTTTCAAGGCGGCGGCAAGGCTAAAATTAGCCTTGCCAGCTGTGTTTTGCTGGAGTGCTCACGCATGCCCGAAGCGTGGGCAGAGCGCACCGACCGCCTCTTCACTTTGTCAGGTTGGCTCTGTTCTCCAGTGTCGCCGCTTCACAGGAAAGGTTCCTGGTACAAATCCAGCGTCCTCGCCGAGAACAGAGACTCGGGGCTTAATGCACACATGTTGTCCACCAGAGTGCAAGCCCCTCCACCCTCGAGGCAGCTGGGCTCAGGGAAGCTGGATTCTGGAAGCTGTGTGTGAGCGTGTGTGTTTCTTTGCGCAAGATAAGGATGGTGGGTAACTAGTTGGGTTCTACCTTTAACAGGAATAACAATCAGAAGGAAAGGGGGAGGGAGAAGAAAGGAAGAGAGGGCAGGCATTGAAAAAGCCTGACAACACTGTAACTGAGAAATTCAATTAACTCTGCCAGTGTTTGAATGTGCTGGGCCTCAGTTGTCCCATCTGTAAAATGGAGACACTGCCAATTTACCAGACTAAGTCATTATATGGAATCGGGTACTAAAAATCGCACTGATTTAAAAATACTTTGATGGCATCACATTCCTCAGACAATAACGTCCTGATTCCTTGGAGTAGTTTTCAAGACCCTTAATGAACTGACAAGTCCTTGCTTGCTACTCTGGACTCAACCTTAAACTGCCGCTCCCAATCTAGGCCTGAGTCACATGGTGCTACATTAAGGACAGGAGCAGGCTCTCTGCCTTGGTGCTTTCCAATCCCACCCACCTCTTTTTCCTTTCCGGCCACCCTTCTGCTTTCAGCACCAGCACCCCTGCTTGGAGTAGCTTTCCCTAAATTCTTGTTTCACATGTGTTCTGCATTCCTGTTAAAAGAATGCTTACCCTAGTGTCTGGGCCTGTTGATTGCGTGTTTCTTCCCTGATGTTCTAAACTCTAGGAGAGCAGGAGGTCACATCATTCTTGTTTATCTTCATAGCTCCAAAAAATAGCATGGAGTCAGGCACAAAAGGAGCATTCAGTGAATGTTTGAAGAACCAAATATTTTAGACACAATAAATAATTGTAACCCAATTCATATCTTTCTTTTCATGGGTCAGAAGTTAAACTGGGTGCAGGGGACATAGTGACACGTGGATCACAAAGCTCCTCCTTCATAGTGCATTCTAGTGGGGCAGTGTACAAAGGAATAAACATAAATAATGCAGGGTGAGATTTGGAAATATTTGGTGCTGTGAAGAAGCAGAGTACAGAGAAACAGAAGTGGGCTGGTGAAGTGGTTCAAGTGCTAGAGTGCTTGCCTAGCTAGAGTGACACCCTGAGTTCAAACCCCAGTACCACCAAAGAGAAAGAAAGACAGACAGGAAAACAGAACCATAGGGATTCTACTTTTAAAAGGCTCATGCCCGCAATCCTAACTACTAGGGAGGCAAGAATCTAGAGGATAGTGAGGATTGCAGTTCCAGGTCAGCCCTGGCAAAAAGTTTGCCAGACTCTGTCTCAACAAAAAAGGTGGGTATGATGGCACATGCCTGTGGGAAGCATATATAGAAGGATGGTGATCTCGGCCAGCTGTGGAGAGAAGCAAGACCCTATCACCAAAATAACCAGAGCAAAAAGGAATGGAGGCATGACTCCAGCAGTACAGTACCTGCCTAGCAAGTTTGAAGCCCTGAATTCAATCTTCATACTGTGCCCTTGCCCGCCTCCGCCCCGCCAAAAAAAAAGATGGTTTGGGGTTCTGTTGTAGTGCTTAGTGGTAAAGCCTGGGCTTCCAGCCAGCCCACCTGGGCTCTGGTCCTGCCTCTGTGGCACCCATCTGCCTCCATTCCTTCATCCATCAAATGCCTCTATCCACTTCCCACAGTTATTAAGAGGATTCACCAAGATAATCATATGAAGCATTGAGAACACCTTTACCATGTCCTATCTGCTCAGATAAGTGCCAGCCTGAATCCTGGGGAAAAGCATGCAGGTCAGAGAAAACACAGGCACAGGAATCCTGCTGTGGCAATGGGTTTCTGGAATGTGCTAGATTGGGCCCAGAGACTACAATGAGGTGAGTGAAAGGTAAAGGCCATAAGATGAGGCTGACAAGGGGCTCTCAGGCCAGATCGCATAGGCTTGGCGAGGACTTGATATGGAAAGACAAATTATTGGCGTCAGTAGAGAAGCAAGGATTCCAAGATTCAGACATCTCCTATAGAACACTGTCATCCTAAAAGACATTCTGAGGTTCTCCAAATCTTAAGACTTATAAGAGAAGCACCCCAGATTGTTTTTGCCAATTCTGCTACTATGGATAAATGACATGGATATTCTTATATTTAATAACTAGCCTAGATCTCCTCTGAAGGGAAAAGAATACTTTCTTATTTACAAATGAAAGGCCAAATAAATAGCTCCTCAGTCAAAGCTATAGCCTACTTACATGTAAAGTTCCCAGCATGTGTGGATGCTATCAGCAATTTCTACACAAATTACCACTTTCCAAAATGCTACTCTATTTCATTGGATTATTGTAATGTTCTGGGCATCATTGTCATTACCCTAAGAATACTCGTTGCACGTTTAAAGCCGTTCTTCAGTAATGCAGAGTGAGTTTAGCACTTGAGAGAATTGTAAAATCTGTGTTCTTAATTATTTGTTTATTTTTCCCTCAGAGACACTAGTCACCACAGCAATTCAGGAGGCAAGAGACTCATGTCAGAAATAGTTTTTACACGATTTTTGCTCTGTTGGCGCAGTAGTGCTTTCTGTTTAAATGATCAAGCTAAGGTAGGAGGTAACCAGTTTAAGTCCCTCTATGAATCAGAAGACAGTTGTGCCCCATGTGCCAACTAACCAACAAGTTTTGAATAAACCCTAGAGCAGCAAATGGCAACAAAAGAGCATGGATGCTCACAGGTTCTTGTGATGCACATCCTGGCCAGAGAAGCACTTACTGAAGACACATTCTTGACTAGAGGAATAGGAGGCCTTAGTCACTCCTTCAGTGAGGAAGTCGTGGTGCTGAAATAAAGGCCAAAAGGTAGAGACAGAAGCCTTCTTCTGGTTTGCCCTTGACCTTTCTTTTCAAGGAAAAGTTGGGTCCTCTGAATGATTTATTTTTTTAAGTCATCCAGACTTAGTAAAAAACAAAACATACAAAGAGAAAATATAAAAGGAAAAGCTGAGGTACTAGTACTATATCCTGCAAAGTAAGCACATCATTCAGCCATCAGGAAGGGTATTCATGACACTAAATAACTTTTAAATCTTGGCATTTCCTGCCTTTTTAATTAAAATTGTTGAGTCCCTTTTCACACAGCAGTTGCCAATGGTATGTTAAACATAAAGTTGTTTTAATAAAACACAAGATACTAGACTGCAAATTCCAATATTAAAGGACGTCTTTTCTCCTGCTGAACACTTAGGAAAAAAATCCTAGACAAATGAGGACAGGAAAACGAGTGATTCGAGTATGCCTGGTTCAAATGTAAATTATAATTGAGCATAAAAAATATTAATATAAAGACAAAAAATTAACCTTCAAAGACAATTTCAAGTCTCAAGAAAAAAATAATTGTGATTAAATATGTTTGGGGCAGTAAAGCCTGTAGAAAAGCAAGAAGACTTTACTACAGTGAACACTATTAACCTCTACAAAGTTTTATTGAGCACCTACTGCATGTCTAAACAATTGAGGACACCAATCTAAATACTATCTGCCTTGTCCTCAACTAGAGTTAATAATTGTGTATTTGCCAAACTTCAGCCATTCACGAATGACCTTAATTTTTTTTACATTTGAGTGCCAATTTGTAACAAAAGTTAACTAGTTTTTCATATCCACTAAATATTTTCTCTGAAATACATATTTTATGATAGTTTTAAGTAACAATATGCATGAAAGCTAATACTTATTTTGCTTTTGTTATCCCTGTTAAAAAAAAATACACTTCCTCTATCCTCTCACTCTCTCTAGGTATTTTTCATAGCACTTAACATTTGGGCTAAGCACATCTAGTCTTCCTTCACTCCTGGAATTACCAAGGCCTACACAAT